TTTATCTTAGAGATAAGGAAATAAAATCCCAGAGAAGACAGAAGTCACACAGACTGTAGGTGGCAGATATAAGATTTGGACTCAGGCCTTCTTAATCCAAATCTTTCCATGGCACTATATTGCCAAATATCTGCATTTATACAAATTAATCACATATTTGAACTCAGAATAAAAGGCACAAACAAGAGATTTATAAAATCATAGAAAGGGTTTAGGGTTAGAAGGAAATAATCTAGTCCCACTCCCCCATTTCATAGAAACTAAACAGCAGAGAGCAAAAGTGAGATGTCCAAAGTCCCACAACCACATTATCAGAGCCCAGGATTCAAATCTAGGTTTTCTGATTCTGAATTTGGTACTCTGTGCTTTGGTGTTCTAAGAAGGCTGTCTTTACAGATTTCCCTGAGGAAATGTTCAGCTGAACCCAGGCTGAAAAGCCCAGAAAAATAGCTCCTGTTTCAACCAAACTTCTCCCAGGAATTTTCCAGGACTCAAACCTTTGACTCAATCTACATGTCCAGAGTAAAACCCTTTCTCCCCTAAATCTCACCCTTTTCCAACCTTTCTGATTCCTATTGAAGGCATCAGTAACATTCAACTCAGTGTTATAACCTTAGAATTAATCTTAACTCAAGATTAAGTTGACAAGATTAAGTTAACTGGTCCTAACTTTATTCTCTCTCAAACCCCAAATCCAAGCTGTTGCCAAGTTTGTCAATTTCTATGTCCACAATCTTTCTCAAATACATCTTCTCAGAGCCACCATCTTCCTTTAAGTACTCACCACATCCCACCAGATAGAAATAGCCTCCTAATTGGTCTCCCTGCTTCCAATATCTCCTCTTTCCTATCCATTCTCTATGATGGCTGCCAATATAACAGCCCTTACCCTGTCACTTTCCAGTTCAAAAAACCTTAAATGGCTGCCCATCACTTCTATAATAATACTATCAACAAGCATTTATTAAGTGTTTACTATGTGCATTGGTTGTTACACAGTAGATACAAAGACACACTTGAAAACCTCTGCCCTCAAGGTGTTGTTTACATGCTGATGAGAGAGACAGCATAAATATACGTGCACACACATGTATATTAAATGTGTACAATATGAATACAAAGTAGCTTGGGGAGGGAGTATCAGAGGATGATCCAGAAAGGTTCCCTGAAGGAGGCAGTGCTTGAACTGAGTCTTGAAGGAACCCAGGAGTGCCAAGAAATAGATATGAGGAGGAGGTCTGGCATTTAGGGTCTTGCATAATCTATCTCTATCCTACCTTTACAGCCTTATATCAAATCACTCCCACATTCAAGAGTTAAAAAGAGATAGCAGATAGCCAGGCTGGGATCCAGGAAAACCTGGGTTCAAATGGCCCTGGGGCATCCTTCTCTCTCCCCCCCACACCACGAAATTTAATCTCTCAGTATGCTCCAGGCAATTCTTGGGAGACTATATATTTCAATTACAGAGAAAGTGCTGATCTGTAATAAGAGTTTCCTTTTTTGAGGGCTTGCTATAGCAGCAAAATCACAGGTCCTTGTCTCTGTCCTCCTGTACATAGTTTACATTCCAGCCAAAATGGGTACTAGCTACTCCCACAACACAGCAGGCTTCTAATACTGTGCCTGAATATTGTTCCCCACACTTCATCTCTATTTTTTTTGAATCCTGATCTTCTTTCAAGGCTCAGCTCAGGTGCTACCTCCTCCATGAAGCCTTCCCAGATCCTGCACCAGCTCTACTCCCAGTTGTTAGTAATCTCTCATTACTCAAATTATTTTATATTTACTTACTTCACATCAGTCCTGTGAAAATTTAAGCTTGTTGAGGACAGGAATGATTTCATTTTGTCTTTGTCTCCCTGGTATTTACAACAATGTATTGTACATAAATACTGCTTAATTAATGTCCGTTGAATGCTGGTATAATTTAGACCAGTGGTTCTCAAACTTTTTAGTGTCAGGAGTCCTTTATACTTTTAAAAATTTATTCAGGATTCTAAAGAACTTTAGTTAATGTTGATTATGTCTAAATATCTTAGTATTGTTATGAAAACAGTTTTGCCTTCCTAGATCCCCTGAAAAGTACTGGAGACCCCTTAGGGTCACTGGACTACACTTTGAGAATTGATGAATTAAGCAGTTATCTTCCAGGGGTGGGGAACCTGTAGGCCACGTGTAGCCCTCTAGGTCCTCAAGTGTGGCCATTTGACTGAATTCAAACTTCTCAGAACAAATTCCCTTAATAAAAGAATTTGTTCTGTAAATCTTGGACTCAGTCAAAAGGCTGAACCCAAGGACTTAGCCACATTTGGCCTTGAGGGTTCAGGTTTCCTACCACTGTAACTCTGTGCTTCTCTTGTAGTGAGTGGAGTAGTGGCTACACATGTGAAAAGTTCCTGGTGCAAGGACAGCCAGAAGCACAATTTATTTATCTATGCCAGAAATTCATTCCTCACACTTTGTCTTCTAAGCAGATGGGTCCCTCTCCCTGTTCCTGCTACTGTCAAATAAGAATAAAGTATTTTCAAGCTTACTCTTGAAAATATGACCCCTGGTAAGAAACTAAGTGACCCTGTCTGTCTCTGGGGAAACAAGAGTTATATCTCTTCCTCAGCCCATAATAAACCCTCTCTTCCTCTGCCCTTCCCAACATCAGTTCCATTCCCATTTCTCTTTATATTGCAAATGTATCTTTCCCAAAGAGAACACACTTCCAGAGAACTGGGCCACTTCTCTTATTCTCTGTATCACCAATTGTTTCCTGGTCTCAGAATATTCTGGGCTGGTGTTCTCCCTTCCTCCATCAGTCCTGCTGTTAAAGTGCTCTATGGGGGAAAAAAAGAAAGTTAAGAAAAAGAAAAAGGATAGAAAAGAGAAAAGGAAAGAAAGAAATATTTAACAGAAGGGTTTTGGCAATAGAGACAACTACTACCCAAGCCTTTCCCTCTCCCTTCAAAACTAGGTGAATTAAAGGCTAGGAAGCCCCTTGAGTCATGCAATAAAAAGGATAACAAGATTTCTAAAATCTCACTATTCCTCAGTTTTCTTGGGGCCTAAAGACATCATACAGATAAACCTGTAATGCAGATTGTTCATTGCTCTACAGAGGAGCATGATATTCATCATATCCTTTAACAGATTGATAAAATCCTGCTGAGTTTGTCTCATGACACCTCTAGCCACTTAGCAGTCACTCTCAGGGCAAGTCATTTTGAAAATAAGATATTCTACTTTGCCAGGGACAAGGAACACCTGAGGATTTGAGCCCAGGATCAAATCAATCCAAGCTTGAAGAATCTGGTATCCTATTAGGTGGGGGAGCAGGAAACTGCCACTACTATGGGGGTCAGTGAAACCCATAGAGATAGGCTCAAGGATAAACCAAAAAAATAAATGTTAGGGAGAATAGAAGTTACATTAATTCAATGAAAAAAAATTTGCAGTGTACTACTATAACTCTAAAAGGTCTAATAAAATATTTTGAAATTACTTACTTCAGTTCAACCCTCAAAATTCCCATAGCACCTGTCCCACAAGTTGAATCTTTTCCTTAGTTTTTGGAAATCAGTCACTCTATAATCAATCAATAAGCAGTTGCTAAGTACATTTATTAGAAACCTATGCCAGGTTTATGTAATTTTGATCTGTATCAGGAAAGCAAAAAAGCATTTGGGAATGGCTTGTATTCTTATAGAGTTAACAAAGTTTTTTACATATCTGAGATAGGAGACCTTTATCTGAGAAACTGTCTATAAAATTTTTCCAATTTTCTGCTTTCCTTCTGATCTTGTTAGCATTTGTTTTATTTGTACAAAAACTTTTCAATTTAATGTAATCAAAATTATCCATTTTGTAACTAACTTTTCTATGTCTTGTTTATTCATAAATTGTTCAATGGTAGCCATGGAGGGGAAGAGGGGAACGGAAGGAAAAAAAAAGAAATTTGTGACAATTTTATTGTATCTTTAAAAGAAATTGAAAGCTTTACATAAAGATTTGCAAGTTCACATGCAATCATCTTTTGTTTTTAATCCTACTATGCTATGGAAATGCTTGTTTTATTCCATAAATTAAAAATAAAATAAATAAATGGGGGTGAAGGGAGAAAAGCAATGAGAATCATATTTAGGCTAAGGGAGACAGGTGTTGTTTCTTTTGAAGTAACAAGGTGTTAGAAGGCAAGCTCTTTCTGAAGTGATTGGAGGAAGGCTGGCCAGTGCAAAGTTATAATTAAGAAAAGTTACAGATCATCAATAGCTAGTTAACTATAAGTGCCTCCCTATTCTCCTGAGGAGCTCAGGAGGTTAGGAAGCAGAGGTGGGGCCAGAGCCTCACAAGAACCATTCAAAAGGTCGAGCCCAAGAGACCCCCTTAAGACTCCTGCAGAAGGAGAGATCATCAAAAAAGGTCTGTTTCCGACACAGTATTGGTAAGTCTTTCTTTGTTTTGTGCTTCATGTTTTAGATTTGTGGTTCATGGTTTAGGTTAGTATCATAGTTAAGAGTTCCTTGCATTGTGATATTTTTGTATAGAAATGCTGTTGGATTATGGCATGTTATCAAGAGTATGATGTATTTCTTTAGGAGGTTAAATCCTCTATTTTGTTAGAATGTTGCAATTTTATAACTTGGGCAGAGAACTCTTCTGGTTAAAGATGTCTTGTGTATTTAAACACAGAGACTCACACACAGACACGCTTGTGAAAGGTAGTATCTTGGAAAGTCTCCCGGTCATTAGAAATCTTTGGCAGATTTTGCCAGATGCTCTGAACTATTAACTAGACCTCCAGCCCTACCTAGACATTTTGAGGGTCTGATAAAACTAACTCCAGGGGAAATACTCTGGCCCCTCCCCGCCACCACCCAGAAGAGACCGGATCTTGGGCAACATTAAATTTAAGCGCGGGGTTAAAACATTCTCCTCCTTTCCCACCCCTCCCCCATATCACCTGACTTCTTGTCCTTTTTATTCCCTTTCCCAAATAAGGAAAGGGGAGGAGTAGCTTTACCTGACAAGCTCCTTCGGCTACCTGCTGAAGGCTATTTAAAACCCTCTATAAGTATCTCTCTTGGTTCTAAGGAGTTACTGTTCCTCTAACAACTGATACAAATTAACTTAACTTCTACCTTTGATTCTTGATTTATTGACCTCAAGTCAAATGGCCCAATCGCTCTCCAGGAAGATTTTAGAACCTCTAGGTTAAGAAATTCGCCAACAGAGGCCTGTGTCTGCTCCTTACCTTCAGTAAGTCGTTTTACTTTCTTATGTCTTGTTTTCCTCAACTTTAAAATGTTAGTACTGAAATTATTTATTGTGTTCCTTCCAGCTCTTTGTCCCATGATGTCTAGAAAGCTGCTCTGAATAGTGAATGGCTGCCTGGACAAGGCTTATAAACTTCAAGGTCTCATGACCACGGTCATATTTGAGTGAGAAATGCTTAAGGTCTTTTCCCTCGGGAGGGTCATCACTTTCAAAATGAGAGAGCATTTATGAGCAAAATTCCTTCCCCACCCCGCCCAACTTGGGGGGCGGGGAATGAGAGTGAGTGTGAACATAGTATGACTGATTTCAGAGTTTTTTAGGGATAGACTGTGCCCCGCCCTATGCCAAGAGAACCCTGGTATTCTTATGCCACAAAAGACCAGTCCAAGGCTCTTCCCTCCCCAAATTAATCTACATTATATTCCTGACCACTGTTGGGTAAGCCTTATCTCGCAATAGAGAGAAACTCTCAGGGTAGGGAAAAGGTGAGGCATGTCTAAATCCTCCTTTAGGAAGAGAAAGGAGTAACCAGGCACTGTGCTAAGCATTTTACAAACATTTTATTCGATCTTCCCAACAACCCTATGAGGTAACCCTTATTATTTCCGTTTTCCAGTTGAAGACACTGAGGCAGACAGAAGTTAAATGACTTGCCCAGGTTCACATAGCTAGCAAGTGACTGAATCTGGGTTTGAACTCTGGTCTTCTTGAGTTCCAGAAAGAAGCTCCCTTAGTTAATAAGTTCGATTCCTAGCCTGCAGCTTTGTGAAGGAAAGGGGAGAAAAGATATTAATTTCAAATAAAAGAACAGCTGGTCAGGCAGAACTGTTAAGATTCTTCTGACTCTTGGAATACCTCCTTAAATGCTCTGAATTTGAATTCTGATTTCCCTACTTTATAACTTAAGTTATCTTTAGCAATTCAATTTACCTCTCTGGGGTTTAGCTTCCTCCTTTGTAAAAGGAAGGAGGTAGGGATTAGGTTTGGAAGTGACCTCAAAGTGGGGAGTGGGGGAAAGCTCCAGCTCTCAATTCCATGACCTTTGCAGAACCTGGGCTATAGCGTGGTCCCCAGGGTTTTCTGCTGGACTTCCTTGGGCAAATCCCTTAGCCCATTGTGGCTTCTGTTACCTCACCTAGAAAAAAAGGTGGAGAGGGTTGGAGAAGGTGACTACTGAGTGTTCTTTGGGTTTGAGAGCTGAACTCCACTGGACTTTTTCCTTTTCTTTTATTTCTACCTTCTTCCTACTGCTAACCCTTGTTCCTGAATGCCTCTGGGATGGACATTACCTCCATTTCCCAAGGTATTTCCTCTCTCTTTCCCAGAGAGAAATCCCTTATGATGAGTCACTTTTTTCCCCACCTCACTGAAGAATAGAATTTAGCCTAAGTCATCAAAACATAGTTCCAGTTCTATGCAATGCCAAGGAAAACTCCCGTCTTCCTTTCTTTGGTTTAGGGCCAAGCTGAGTCATGTTATTTTCATCACATACTATTTGGGGGGGTGGGGGAGGTGGGATAGACTAGAAGGAATAAAGTAGGCATTGTTTTTCAAGACAGACCTAGAATTTCCTATCCATAATGCCCAGTCCAGAAATTCCCACCTATCCACCCAGAGAAGGACTTTTCAGGGTCTGTTATCGGGATGAGTCAAAAGTTGTCCCAGGTCTTCCCTACTCAGAGGCTAGCTATCTACCTCTCCACTAGGCCATGATGCCTTGGTGAAGTTCTAGAGACCTTTCCTGTTCAGGAGGAAGCTCTGAAGGCTGGAAGGGATAGGATGTGAGTATTCCCGCTGCTGTGACTTCTGTGGGATAGTTCATTAAAAGAAGGGTGAAAATGCACCCCTCTTCCTATGTGGAAAATGCAGTGATTCCAGCGGACCAGCTTATAAGCTTCCCTCCCCCCCCACCCCAGCCTTCAAAGAATAAAATAGGAAGGATATCAGTGAATAAACTTGGGATGGAGTACATATAATCAACTTATTTTCTTTCTCTTGCTGCACTACTCATGGTCAACTAAAGTGTCTAGAGCTAATCTTGTCTTAAAATACAATTTGGAGAAAAGAACAGTGCAGGTATATGTATTCTTTATCTGTACTATGGCTTTCAGGGACTGAAGCTTTTTCCTTTCTTCCAGAACAAAGACTTACAACATTGAGGAATATGGATGCAGTGTTGATGCCTGCTGCTTGGATTAATTTATTCCTACCTTCAGACTGTATCCATTATTCTGAGGCATTTTATTACAGGTAAAATGCTAGAGGTTGCATGACTAGTAAAAATGAAAGCCTCCAGAAACCATGAAGGGTAACTTGATACCTAACTACTACTGGGCAGTTACTGCCCCCCTGTGGAAGCTGTCTTGTTTTAAAGGATCCTCTTGCCAAGACTATGTAATTAACAATTGGGTCTACAGGCAGCCTATATGGAATGAAGGGAGAAAATGAGAGGGAAAAAGTAGAAGATGTTCCCTACAATGTTAAATAGAGCTTTATAATAAAGGATGAAAGCTTCTGAGACCATGCTGCTACCAAGTTATTGGATTTTTGGATGCATCTCGGTTAAAGGAAACTATAGACAAAAAAAAAATTTCTTTGAACTCCCAAATAGAACTATTCTAAAATCCAAGGATCAGCTCTGGATCATGATTACTTAATCTATGTAAATGTGGTAACTAATCAGAAATCTACTTCCTAGAAGGATGCTGTCTCTGGGACAATTTAAAAAAAAAAGTAGGCCCATAATTGCCCCACCCTGATTGCTCCATCTCTACTTCAAATCATGACAGTCGCCAATTGAACAAAAAAAAAAATGGCTATGTACATCAGCAGCTAGAAAACTCGGACAACTGACTATGATGAATTTTCCTGGAATGTTTTTTATGGAAGATCCTTCTAGTACTATTGTCCCATGCCTTCCTCATATGAAGGACCACTAAAACTTCTGAACACATAGCTTTTGTTCTCAAAGCTCTTCATGAGGAGGTTTAGCCTCTTCCACAGCTTAAGGAGACACCTAAATAAGATGTGAAAAGTCTTCAATCATGAAGGAACACTAAAGCCTTTCCCACAGTCATTACACTTTTTGAAGGGTTTTATTCCAAGCAAAGGACTTGGGTAGGTGTGTTTTTAAAAAAAAAAAAAACCTGACCTGATCAGGTTTTTCCCCCCCCCACATATCTCTGGTTTTGTTAGGTAACAAAAGCCCTTACTTCTTCAGAGTTTCTTGATAGCAAACCCACACCCCAGGATAAGAAATCCTTTTCACAATATCCAGTGCTGAGCTGAGGTGGTTACAAAAGTGGCTAGGAGTATAGATGAGGTGAGAAGTCTAGGTCCTAGCTCTCAGGAATGGATTTGGAAGAGGATCATCTCACTCATGTCCTCATGTGTGCACATAGGAGTGTTTTGGGGACCTGTCCTCTTTCTTCTCTATAGAGACAGGCTCTGGGTTCTCCAGCCTTCTACAAAGAAGTAGTCTGGGCCCAAACAAAACTTTCAGGACATGACAAGTACCTTTATGTTTGTTTTGAGGCAATTGGGGTTAAGTGACTTGCCCAGGGTCACATAGCTAGTAAGTGTTTGGGGTCATATTTGAACTCTGGTCCTCCTAACTACAGGGTTGGAGCTCTATCTGCTGCACCACCTAGTTGCCCCTAAGCTTTTTTTTTTTGAGAATTTGTGAATTAAATAACTTAATCTAGATGTTGGAGAGTACTGCTTAATATGAAAGTAAATAAAGATTTAAATCCTTTACATATTAGATGGACTTATGTAATTTTCTATTAACCAAAGTGCTTCAGTGTCTCTTTGGAGTACCTCATGGACACAAGCTGAATCAAACCTGAAAAAAATTCTAAAACCAATACTTGATACTTGGTAGATGAGACAGCATTCTCTTGGGTGTGCTTTCCCTGCCTAGAGTCAGTGAAATGGCATCATGCTCCTCTAATGTTTCCCACGATGAACTCTAAGTAGAAAGAGAATTTGACATTTCACCTTTGATCTATCTCCCAGGGCCTACTTTTAGTGGAACATGATTGACTTAAAATTACGGATTTGGACAAATGGAGAACTACGTGCACAATTAAAAATATCATAAAGACAAACAACTTTGAAAGATTTAAGGACCATCAACTATGAGGATTCTTGATGAAACATGTTCCCTATCTCTTGACAGAGAGGCAATATAGGATACAGTTTGAAACATTCTTTTCAGACATGGCCAATGTAAGAATTTGTTTTGCTTGCATATTTTTTCACAAGGGTTTTGTTCTTCTTTAATGGGAGGGAGAGGCCAATTACTGTTGGGGGGGGGGGAATGAACAATTTTAAATGAATGATATGCATTTACTGACAAGTCACTGTGCATTAAGAATTGATGTATCCTTAAATATTCTCCCTCTTTATTTCTGCCTCTTGGTTTCTGTCAAGTCCCAATTAAAATCATATATTCTATGAGAAGCCTCTTCTGATTCCCCATAATTCTCATACCTTCCATTTGTCGACTATCTCCAATTTATCCTCTATGGATCTTGTATCTAGTTTGTTTCTTCCATTAGACTGTGAGTTCCTTGAAAGCAAGGGCTTGTCTTTTGCCTCTTCTTTGTCTGCTACAGGGTAAGCACTTCATAAATGTTTATAAACTGACCAGTCTTAAATAAGCCTCTGCATGATCATTCACTATCACTTCATACAGATTTTCTTTATTTCTGTGAATAAAAATAATCTTTGATTTTTGTAAGTTCGTAGCTGGCCATATGGGTTAGCTTTACCAATTTCACAAAAAGTGAATCTATCTAAAAGCTACTTCTGAAACAACTACTGAGGCTATTCTCTTCCCTCTCATCACCACCAATTCTGGGTTATATACCCTTCTGCCGCTCTGGAGCCAAGCAATTATATAACTGCTTCTAACTCTTGTCCTAATCACATTTAATCAATCTAGCTATGGGAGTCAAAGTAGAAAAATTCAGTTCATGATGAGCTCAGAAAGATGACAGGTAGAAACATTTTCCACTGAAGGTGTGTGAGACAATGGAATAGATGGAATCAGCAGAAGGAAAAAAGCCAACTTCAAACAATGGGTAAAAAAGGAAAAAGTTGAACCAATCATTACTTGCTCAGTGTGTTAGCAAACAGTACAAAATTATATGCAGGGAATTACTACCTTTAAGCTAATCTTGATCATTTGTGTTCTGATGCTTTTGTGAAGTGTATCAATCTTTAGAACTAGACTCCAAGCATAATCTCAGCCTTAGGAGTATACTGATTGACTAAATGCAGAGGCTGGTGGAGGTCTGGGGTTTATTTAGTTACATAAAGATGTGGTATGCTTGAGGAACTCTTCCTTACAATCCACAACCAGGTCAACTCTGTCCCAGGCTTCGTTGTAATGTTGAACATATTTGCTAAGGCGATTGTTTCTCAAGAGGGTCTTTGGTCCTAGACTGTTGTTCATCTTTGATTTTTGAAGAGGACCAATGATATCATAGGTAGCACAGCACCAGCCCTGAAGTCAGAGGACCTGAGTTCAAACTGGCCTCAGACACTTGCGCTTACTAGCTGTGTGACCCTGGGCAAGTCAGTTAACCCCATTGATTAGTGCAAAAAAAAATTGAAGGCTTAACTATATGAATTCAAAAGTCCAAAACTTCCTATCCTTTTAAACATACAAAATACAAATGTCAGAGCAGAGCACTACATAGCTGCATTATTTTGCCCTGAGTCTTAAGCTGTTGTGTAGCTAACTACATCTGAAGATGCTTCTTAGGCCTTCTATATTAATATGAGCAGCTGGCAACTGTGCAAACTTCAGTGACTGAAATAGTTTCATGTTGTTGTTGTTGTTGTCGTTGTTAGTAGACTATGGCTGTGGGGAGGTGTGGGGGGAAAGAGGAGAAATGGAGCCAAATGCTTGCCATCATGATACTGGTCATGATTACAATGGGAATTCAGAAGGGAAACATCAGTGTGCGCTGGTATCTTATATCTTACTGTGCAAGCAATTAATCTGTGAACAAGTATGGGTGCCTGCTAAATGATATGCCAAAAGGGATAGAGCTTAAGTCTCACTAGGAAATCATGATCACATTATACAAGGACAATTCAAGGTAGTGTGTAAATATGTGTTAAGTCATATAGCATTTGCTACAAATTATAATTTAAGTAGATATGGTTCCCGCCCACTTACAAAATAAAAGATGTTTGAGAAGAGGAGACTTGAAGTTAATTCTTCACCTTCTGAAGAGGTTGGCATATCCAGGAAGCTGATCACTGACTCGGATTAAGAGCTGAAAAGGGATCTTAGAGGTCCTCCAGTTCAACATTTCAACACTGCTACCTCCCTGTGTTGTGCAAGCTCTAAACCTGCCCCCCTTCTGAGGCAGGTGTTGGTTCTGCAGAGGCGGTTAAAACCCAAACTAACTGCTACCCACAGAAGTTGCACAGATGCCATTAGGAAAATGTCACCCCTATTCACTGTCTCCATTACCCAGATCACCTTTGTGGCTATGGCCATGGCAGTGACAGTGACGTTTGAATAAGAACCCTACTCCTTTTCACATAGGATGGGAAGAGTGAGTTACACAAGATGAGCTCTAGATGGTTGTAGTTTTCATTAGTACAGCATTTATTCCTTTCTTGAAAAAACTTTTTCAGTTCAGAATTCTCTCCTTCCCTCCTCCTTCTTCCCTCTTGCTCCACCCATTGAAAAGGCAGGAAATATAATAGCCATTATAGATCTATAAAGTCATGCAAAACGTGTGTCCACATTAGCTATGTTACAGGGGAAGGGAGGAAGGTCAGAAACCAAGAAAAATAAAGTGAAAGAAAATATGATTCAATCTGTACTCAGAGTTCATCAGCTCTGTCTCAGCAATTTTTTTTATCACGAGTCCTTTGGAATTGTTATGGATCATTATATTGATCAGAACTGTCTTTCACAGTTGATTGTCATTACAATATCACTGTTACTATTATTGTGTCAAAGGGTATGCACAGTTTTATAGCCCTTTGGGCATAATTCCAAATTGTTCTTCAGAATGGTCAGACTAGGTCTATATGAAATGTATGAGGTCTTCAGGGAAGTCTAACACCTCTGGTGTGAGGGCATTCTGAGCCCTTTTCAGGGTTGCTCATTCACCTTTGGGAGCCACCTTCACCCATCTCTCACCTGTGGCTCCAAGAAGCTATAATATGTACAGAAGCCATACCTCAGTAAATAATCTTGGCAGGTGGGCTAAACAAGGGTGAGGGTAACCAATTGTTGGTGATTTTAGGGTGATGTCTACACCAACCATGTGAAAACTTTTCCTGGCTGAATGCGTGGATGAAAACAATTTGTTCCAACAGCTATGAAGGCAGCTGAAGCAAGTGTTATGGAGCACTTGGAGCTTGGTCAGCATCAAAAATGCCAAGGTCATCCACTGCATTCTGGGCTATTGCCTGTCGTCTTGACTTGTCTTGCCACTGGACCTTGCTGAGTGAGGGTGATGGATTTAAATGAGGCAGAGTTGCACAAAGTCAACTCATGTGCAAGTCAAAATATTGATCCTCTTTGAAAAATGAAGGATGAACAACAATAATAATGACCACAAAGAGATCAAATATTTTTAACAGTTCTTTTTGTGGTGGCAAAGAATTGGAAATTGAGGTGATGCCCATCAATTGGGGAATGGCTGAACAAGTATATGATTGTGATTGAATACAACTGTGCTATAAGAAAGGGCAAACAGGATAGTTTCAGAAAAAGCTGGAAAGACATTTGTGAACTGATGCAAAGTGAAGTGAGCAAAACCAGGAGAACATTGTGTACACTAAAAGCGATATTGTAATGATGATCAACTGTAGAAAAACTTAGCTATTCAGATTAATAATATAATGCAAGACAATTCTAAAGGACTCAAGATGGTAAATGCTATTTACCTCCAGAGAGAACTGAAGTCTGAATGCAGATTGAATCATAATTTAACTTTTTTTCTTTTTTCCTGCAACATGACTAATGTGAAAAATTGTATTTTACATGTATGATTGATATAATATTGCTTGCCTTCTTATTAGGTGAAGGAGGGACCAAAGGGCAGAAAGAATTTGAACTCAAATTTTAAAAAAAGGTTAAACATATTGTCATTCAAATAAAATCACAACATGCAGCAAGGCAAGGAATGATTGGTTGTATATTTATTTGGGGAAAATGAATTCTGGTCAATAAATTTTAATTTTTTAAAAGAAAAATAAGGAATGGTTGGACCAGTTCACATCTTCACTAACAGTCCATTAGTGTATCTATTTTTCCATATCTCCTCGAGCATTTATCATTTTTCTTTTCTGTCATCTTATTCAATCTGATGGGTATGAGGTGGTACCTCAAGTGATATTTTAATTTGCACTTATTTAATTATTAGTTTAGGCAGTTAGGTGGTGCAGTGGATAGAGTGCCAGGCGTGGAATCAGGAAGACTCATCTCTCCAATTCAAATCTGTTCTCAGACTCTTACCAGCTGTGTGACCCTGTTTGCTTCAGTTCCTCATCTGTAAAATGAGCTAGAGAAGGAAATGGCAAACCACTCTAGTATCTTTGCCAAAAAACTTCAAATGAGGTCATGAAGAGTCAGACATGACTGAAACAATAACAAATTATTAGTAATTCAGAGCATTTTTTCAAATAACTATTGATAGTGGGGTTTTTTTCTGAAAAATGCCTGTTTTTGTTTTTATTATTTATCAATTGGGGAGTATTACTTTAGTTTTTACAACCTTAGTATTACCTTGGACTATTACTCTTCCAGGCCCCATATATCCAATCAGTTAATAAATCTTGTCAGTTCAATCTCCACATCTTGCAATCTATTTCCTTTTCTCTACTCATACAACCACCAAGCTACTTCAGTTCCTTATCATCTCTATCCTATGTCTATCAGCTCTGTCCTGGAATAACCTACTTGGTATCCCCACATCACTCTCTTTCACCTTGCCAATCTGCCCTACATAAACTACCAAAGTGATTTTCCTAAAGCGCAGGCCTGAGCTTTCTCTCCTCAATAAACTCCAATGGTTCCATAGTGATTTGGAGACTAAATATTATTTCATTTTTATTTTAACCTTGTTTAATTTCTATTTTTGTATAAGTTTTAGAATGCATGTCATCAATAGAGCAATAGTCCATGCATGTAATTTATAAATATATATAAAGATTGGGAACATGCTCAAAAAAGATTTAACGATAGAGGT